TCTCTCAGCTGCCGTCGGCAAAGCTGCCGCCACTAAGTACGCACAGGTTTTTGCAGCTTGACACCCACGCACCCTGCACCTGTGCCTCCCCATTCCTGTAAGTTATTCCACCTGCTGGTCTGCACGTGGCATGGCCTCCGTCTGGCACGTCAGAGAGGAACACAGCCGCTGAGAGGCAGCAGCCCGGGAAGGAGGACGGATTTCGGAAACTGATCGATGAGAAATTCAGCAGAAGGGTCTAGCCCGCGGGCACCGAGAGCCACAGGTGCCGAACATGCAGATTCCACCCCCATATCCTGCCCTCCTCCCCCAGTGCTGAGACGGCTCCTAGGGCGAAGCTTCGGTGGATTCAGACTGAAACAGGGCCACAGGGTCGTTTCCTCCCTCACCCTTCCACGATCGATGTACTGACTTTGGCCTTAAGATTTCTAACTTCCACTGGTTCATCGGTCGTCAGCTGCTCTCGGTTTAGCTGCCACCCTCCACCATCCTGGGGAAACCCTGCTTCCTCCTGCTCAGGCATGTCAAACTCGCGGCTGGGGCCGCATGCCTAGTTATCTGCTGTGCTTGCTCTATTCTAGCTGAAAGGACCCCGGTATGCAGCATTTTCCCAGCATGAGACGTGAATCAGAGATGCCACGTCTGCAGGCAGAGCCCATAACCAGCTTCCTTCCTCTTAGAGCAGTGGTTCTCAACCTTCCTAATGCCGCTGCCCTTTAATACAGTTCCTCGTGTTGTGGTGACCCCCAACCATAAAATCATTTTCGTTGCTATTTTATGATTGTAATTTTGCTGCTGTTATGAATCGTCATGTAAATGTCTGATATGCAGGATGTATTTTCATTGTTACAAATGGAACATAATCAAAGCATAGTGATTAATCACAAAAACAATATGTAATTATATGTGCTTTCCGATGGTCTTAGGTGACCCCTGTGAAAAGGTCGTTCGATCCCCAAAGGGGTCGCGACCCACAGGTTGAGAACCGCTGCGTTAGAGCAAGACACCGCCTCAAATACCCCTTCACGGAGACGCCTGTGCCTGAGCCCCAGCCCCTCAGCCGCAGGCGGGCGGCCGGGGCACTGACCTGCTCCGTCTCCACGAAGTTGGACACGTGGCCGTCGTCGTTCACTCCGCGGGTGAGGAGGCGGGCGCCGGCGCGCTCGCAGCTGATGCGGGAGATGAGGCAGGCCTTGGCCTGCTTGTGCGAGGCGTACACTGTGCGGATGGCCACCACCCCGCAGATGACCTTCAGCAGCCAGTCCTTGAGCGCTGAGCTCCCCCTCCCGTGAGCTCCGCACTCGGGGCACCCGGCCCAGGGCGTCTGGGGCTGCCGAGGGACACATGCGCAGCAGGAGGGCAAGGATTCCTTTCCCAAAGCCACTCCCGTGGCCACGGCCAGGGGCAGCCAAGCCTGGCTTGGGAGCCGTCATGCGCCTTTCAGCGGATGTCAGAGGAGCCTCCTTACACCTGTGGCCTCCACGTTTTAACGGGCAATCCCGTCAGTAAAAACGTACTCACGTGTTTTGTGATTAGATAATGACAAGTGATTAAATTAATCCTACTAAACACATGCATGCTTATTTAAATCATATCCATATCCCATGAGGTAAATTACAAAAGAGGATAAGATGCAAATAAAACTTAAGGGAAGTCCCAGCGTTTCCGTACCTGGTGGACCATTCTGGCTTCTGGAGGGCCCCAGCGTAATGATGGGACAACAGCCAACGCGCCAAGCGCACTGAGCACATTCTAAGTGCTTGGCACGGATTAACTTACTGCATCCTCGAAATGATGCCATGTGGCAGGTATTATCACTCACCCCATTTCACAGATAAATAAACTGAGGCACAGCAGAGTGAAGCGCCCCTTGCCCAGGGTCAGGGGGCCAGGAAGCGGCAGCGTGGAGCTGGGAGCAGGTGTAATTCTCCCAGGCAGCCAGCCCTGGGCTCCGCTGACGAAGGCCCTACCTTTCCTGCGCGCACCACACCCTCCTGTCCTCTCTCTCACCGGGTAATTAAGCGAATCTAGATCACAATGCTCTACTTGTTCAAAAAAGGCAGCACTAGCCCTGCCCTTGGCCTTCCTCAAAGACGGCAGCTTTCTCTCACTCCTGGAGAAGCGTGCTGTGAGCCCTGGCGTCTCAGGTGGCTGCTCCAGGCAGCAGCGCCCCCACTGAGGCCAGCCTTCCTGCCCGTGACCCGGCCACTTCCATCTGGGCGCCGGGAGTCCCCCGGGTAGCAGCCACATGGGACACCCCCACCCCCCTCCTGAGCACTCAGAACCACAGTGCCCGTCTGCTTTACAAACACCCGTCTCCCGCCCCAGCACCTGCACCCCTCCCTAAAGTTCAGACAGTAAACCAGCCTGAGGAACCAGTGCATGCAATCCACACCGCATCAAGGCAAAGCCTCAAGCTGTGGCCACGTGAGCCCCAGGGGTCAGAAGGAGACTTGCCAATGGACAGCCCTGAACAAAGCCGGCCTGTAGCCACTCCCTGATGTTGTGGGAGGAGCCCTCCACCCCTGGAGAAGGCGCGAGAAAGGAAAAGAGCTTTGTGTTTCCTCCTGGGCCTGGCTTGTACCGGGAAGCCATTCTGGGAGGGGCCGATAACCAGCCCGGAAAAAGGACTTCACCCCACCGCACACTCTCCCTACTCACCAGCCACGTTCAGCACTGACCCTGTCTGACTCCAGACACGGGCCAGACCCGGGACCCCAAACAGCGGGTGAGGACATCAAGCCCGTGACCACTCACCAGAGCCGACGCGGTCATGGTCAGTCCCATGGGTGCACCCTGAGCCCAAGCACCACACCCTGGTGTCCGGCCCAGCAGCCTGGCACCCTCCCCCGTTGCCGCCTCCTCTCAACTCAAGATAAAGTCTGGTGTCCATGGGGTCTCCCCTCCCAAGCCCCACTGAGCCTCCGCGTTGCGACTCTGCTGTGTCTTCCTGTTTGTGTGCTCGAACCTCCGGCCACAGCGCGGGCAGGAGGAGCCTGAGGATGGAGGGAAGGGGGGGCCTCCAGAGCCCCCTGACATCCTCTGGCCCTACAATGTTCCCAAGGAAGGTCACAGCCTCAGAGACTTCCCGCCTCTGCTCCCCCGACAGCCCCGGGTTGAAATGGCTCCTCGGCCATGGCACAAAGACCCTCGGTCCGTTAGCTCAGCCGCCTCAGGGCCACACGCACCAGCTGGTTCCTGCAAAGTGGCCCCGTGAGTCACAGAGACACCCCCTGCCCCGGGACCTGTTACTCAGAGCTGGTCCCTGAACCAGCAGCACTGGTGCCACCATCACCACCTTCTAGAAATGCAGGCTCTGGCCCCTGAGTGGGCATCGATTCCACTCCCAGAGGTCACCCGGGACCCTGGGAGGTAGGTGCCCACCAGGGCCCGCCGCCCCGTGACCTGGGCAGGCGATGGGGGCCCGGGCCTCACCAGAAGAAGGAGTTCCCCCACTCGTCGCTGTCATCGCCCTGCTTCTGTGCCCGGACGGTGAGGTCGAAGCGCGAGCCGTCGCTGGGCCACGCGAAGTAGAAGACTCCGGAGCTGAGGATCTTCCTGAGGGCCGGGAGCCGCTCCTCCTCCCGGGCCTCTTCCTGCAGAGGGTAAAAGTCGGTGCCGGTGATCTTGTAGATTTCAGCCTCCGGAATCCTGCCCACAGACGTGCAGCCCGTCACCAAAACCAGGAAGCTCAGGGACGCGTCACCTGGAGGGGAAATCGGACGGGAGAGCTCAGGATGGCGGTGGCAGTGCACAGTCCCCGGGGCCAGGCGGCCCAGCTTTCACCGCAGCCACTTGCCTTCCTGCTCACGCCTCCCACACCCCCCGGCGCCTCCAATTCCTCAGCTCAGCGCCTAGGAATCGCCCTGCCACGTGGGCCTCCAGTCCAGGGCCTGGTGCTGAGTGTGGCCCCTGACCAGCAGCGGCGCCACCTGGGAGGGAACCCGTTAGAAATATTTGCAAATTCTCAGCCCACGCAGACCCGTGGGCCTGGCCAGAACGGTGCTCCAACGAGCCCCAGGCGATTTCGCCTGCTCAGTCCTCCAGCCACAGCAGTCCTCCAGCTCTGTCACTGGGGTGGCCTCCCCACCCCACCTGCTGGCAGACCTCCCTCCCCCACCTGACTCCTCCACGGCTCCCACTTCCCCCCTGAAATGGGAGCTCCTCCCACCCTCGTCGCCCCTGCAGGGACGCCCAGGGCCCAGCAGCTATCCGGGCTCCTCAGATGTGCCATGTGCCCTCTCACCACTGGGCCTTCGCCCAAGACGCTGCCTCTGCCCCGATGCCTCCCCGCAACTGTCGGCCCAACAAGACCTTCCATGACCCTTACCTACCCCACCCACCTCCCGCCTCCACCCTCCAGGACAGCACAAGCCTGCCTGCCCCGCCCCCACCTTTACCAGGGGAACGGCTCTCCCCCCTTTGGGGTCATCTCAGCAGCACCTCCTCCAAGGAGCCTTCCCAAGTCCCGGTCAGTTGCCCCTTCTCTGTGCCAACAGCTTCCCTGTTAGCCTTGTCACAGCAGAGTGACCCCCTCCCCACCGGTGCCCCCGGGATCCTGGGCTCCTTCGGGCAGCACTGTGCCCGGTGCTGTGTCCCAGCACGGCACAGGAAGCGGCCGATGAGCTCTCCCGACCTGAGAGCAGCTCAAGGCTCCTGCCCCGTGAAAGGTTCCCAGGCCCCTGACCCCGAGGCCGGCCCTGACCCGAGGCTGGGAGCCCACGGGGAGGCTGTGGGCGTGGGCTCAGGGAGAGGCCCGGGAAGTCTGCATCTCTCCATCCGAGTCCTCGCGCCTCTGCATGGGGGGCCGGGTCCCTGCTAGAGCCCAGGCGGCCGGGACGGGCTGTTGCAGGCAGGCGGGAAAAGGCTCCTCAGACAAATGAGGACGAAGGACAGCGCCGCCACCACTGAGCATCCAGGCCCAGTCCTGGGACACGCGGCTCAGGAGAGGGTGCGGGTGAGGGCGTCGCGGAGGGAGCCCTGGAGCGGGCCCTTTGCTGCTGGCTGATTCTCGGGGCGGCTGCCTGGCAGGGCTCAGGGAGAGGCCCGGGAAGTCTGCATCTCTCCATCCGAGTCCTCGCGCCTCTGCATGGGGGGCCGGGTCCCTGCTAGAGCCCAGGCGGCAGGGACGGGCTGTTGCAGGCAGGCGGGAAAAGGCTCCTCAGACAAATGAGGACGAAGGACAGCGCCGCCACCACTGAGCATCCAGGCCCAGTCCTGGGACACGCGGCTCAGGAGAGGGTGCGGGTGAGGGCGTCGCGGAGGGAGCCCTGGAGCGGGCCCTTTGCTGCTGGCTGATTCTCGGGGCGGTGCTGCCTGGCACGGGTCCACACACTTCCTCCAGCAGCCTGGGCGGGGGCACTTCTGCCCCATTTTACAGAAAGGGAGGGAAGCACAGAGGGTTTGAAGGGAAGGGCCCTGGTCTGAGCCTGGTGCAGACTGTTCCCCTGACCCCTGCCAGGTGGTTTCTGTAGGGGGTCAAAGTGAGGCCGGGGTGGGTGGGGGGAGGCTGCCTCCCAGGCGTGTGGGGATCCCTCCGATGCTCACCTGGAGCACAGGCTCTAGGCTTTGCTGTGGGTGAGGCAGGTCAGCTTTCTCTCAGCCAAGAAATGGGGCCTGGGGAGGGGCTCCGAGGCCCTTAGTGCAGGCTGAGGCCAGGGTTTGGAACAGTAAGGGCCTCGTAGGCGGGGACAGATAAGCCCTGACTGGCCTTGGCCTCAGAAGACGGGCTCGGAGCTCCGCACACCCCCTCTCCGGGCTTCAGAGGGCAGGCACCAGACGGCCTCCGCGTCCCTCCAGCTCACACCTCCTGGTGGCAGGGCTCTGGCCCCAGCAGCACCAGGCCAGGTCAGAGGTCGCTGGCCAGAGTCGGGTGAGGTGGCGGGGAGGGCAAGCCATGGGTGATAGGCCAAAGGCCCACCAGATACAAACACGCATGCACTCTCTCACATACATGCACAAACATGCACACAGGCAAACACACATGCGCATGCACATGTGTGTGCAGGTGCACACAGCCACATGCTCACACACGTACACGTGTGCCGGCACAGCCACATGCCCACACGTGTGCACGCAGACACACATGTACACATGCACCCGCACACATGTGTGCAAACACACACACACGCATGTACACACAGGTACACCCCTGCGGAGGACAAGAGGCTCACAGTACAGACAGCTCCGCCTGCAGCCCGGACGGGCAGGGAGGAGAACGGATGGTGCATCCCAAAATCTAGGAGTTAATGGCCGAGTTTCAGTTTGGGAAGATGGAAAAGTTCTGAAGACGGATGGTTGCCCAACACTGTGAATGTTCTTAATGCCAGTGAACTGTACACTTAACAATTTCATCTCCTGCATATTTTGTAACAATAAAAACAATTCCGAAACCTCAGTATCGACTTAGGAACGCTTTCCTCGAAGCCCACCTCCACGCCCGAGCTGCCCCGAGCCCCGAGGCTGCCGTGACAGGTCCCACGTCCACCGAGCTGCGGCCACCTGTCACCTGGCAGGGGGGGCTGGCACTGGGCTCACCATGAGTCACGGCAGACACAAGGCCATTCATTCGGGACAAGGCTGGGCGTGTTCTCCAGGCCCCGCCTCCTGGGCTGGCATTGCTCTGTGTGCTCAGCTCCGAGATCTCTCCCCAGCGGGGTTCCTGCCCATCAGCCCTGTGGGCTGCCCGATCTATCGTCCTGCTCGTCCAGGACACTCTCAAACTTAGTGGGAAGCGAAGGCCTTGGAACTCTGGGCTGCCCCAGGGGAAGGAAGAGGCTTTGGCCAGAGGACCCCCAAGGCCCGCCCCTCCCCACACGCACGAGCTCAGAATTCTGTCGCCTCTGTAGCCACATGGCACCGGCTGAGGGTGCCCTCACCTTCCCTTTCTAGAACCGGGAGCGGTGCAGGCCACGTGGCCGCTCACCCAGCTCGGGACAGCCCGCTGTGCCCGTGGCCCCCTCCGCCTGGCAGCCGGCAACCAGCAGGTGGGGGTAGTCACACCATGGACATTCCCAGAGCTGGGTGTCCGATATTTACCAGCTCACCACGGGGTACTGATGCCAAAGTAAAGGACTCCGAGACCAGGAAGGCCACTCCATTTCAGACAGAGAGCGCTGCATGCCCTGAGCACAAGAGACTGTCCCACTCCCTCTCCACTCTTCCCTCGGCAGTGAGAGCCCACAGAGGCCAGCGCTCCGCGAGCCATGCCTGTCCACCAGCCTGCGCCCTTTCCCCCACACCGGCTCTCCTGGGGACCCCCCGCCAGCCCCGCCCACTTGGCACCCATGCTCCTCACGGAAATCTAGGAACCATGTCAGCAGAGACAAGGCCTCCTGGTTCACAGGTGGGAAACCAGCCTGGGGAGGTGGCATGCGCGTGGGCCATGCTGTGATGCTGGGATGGGACCGAGGGCTGCTGGGAAGTGTGGGGCCGCCCATCGTTTCAGGGGCTGTGCCCGGCACAGTCCAGGAGCCTCACTCATTAGAGACATCAGTTCACTCAGCCGTGGAGGCCATGACACGCGGAGGCCATGACACGCGGAGGCCTCGAGCACTCAGGCTAAGAGCCAGGTAAGTCCCTGTTCTCACTGGGAAAGTGCCTTCGCTGCTACTCTCACCTCCTGGGCTCCCCACACAGTCCCTGGGAGCCCGACGCCCGCGAACGGTGGGGGCTCCACTCCCTTCCTGCTGGCTTTTCAGGGAGAAAGGGGCACTCAGCTCTCTGTGACACCCAGGAACCTGAGATAAAGCTTTGATGCAATGTTCGTGCATGTTTCTTCATTTCTAACATAAAGGCTGTTTTCACTTCAGTAAAATCAAAATGGAACAACTGCCCCAAGTGGAGAGGCTGAGGGGAAGCCTCCTTCTCTGTGGAGACCCTCAGCCTAAAAAGTCAAGGGGGGCGCCCACCCCACTGGGGAGGCTCGTCCTGGTGAACATGCTTCCCAACACCCTCAACAGGTGAGAAACAACAAACAGAGAAAACAGATCTAGTTTGGGCTGCTGCCAAGCCCACCCTGGCCCCTGGCCGGGCGCCCCGCAGACACCCTACTCACCCGACAATGTTCTCCTGGGGCCACCACCCTTCCTGGCCTGTGGCCGACCTCAGACCACAGCTTTCCCCTGGGATGGGGGGGAGGGTGGTGCTGCTCTCCGCCCAGAAGCTCACTCCCTGCCCAGTTGGGACAGAGCAGCCTGGTGGTGGAGAGCAGCCCCTGGGGCCAGAAGGCACACAGCCCAGAGTCCAGCTGCAGCTGAAGAACTGCCTGGCCTTGGGCCGTTCCGGCCCTGCACTGAGCCCAGCCCCTGCAGATCATTTGATTAAGGATCCCTTAATGACGCACAAGAGAAACCCTTCCAGTTATCACTGTCAGATGTCAACCACGGAACACCTCCTAGTGCCTGGAGGTGAGGGTGTAGAAGAAACTGTCACAGACTAGATGACACACAGCAGGTAGGTCCCCCTCTGCCACCCCGCCCCACACACACACCCCAGCTTGTCTGTCTGTGAAGCAGGATGGCAACAGCGCCTCCCTCAGGCTGCCGGGAAAGCTGCGTCAGTCAGTGACAGCACATCAGCAGAGCCAGGCCCTGGACAGGCACCATGCAAGGCCCCTGCCTCCACACGGCGTCATGCCTGAGGCTGCCACAGGGAGCTCGCTGGGGGTGCGGGGAGGCCCATAGGAAACCCTGGCAGGCGGCACATTTTCATGGGAAAAGCGAGTTCTGGAGGCAGCCAGGTCGGGCTGGCGTCCCAGCAGAGCTTCTTGGGGCGTTTCCTTCTCCGTAAAACGGGGTGAAGATGCAGATCGCACTGCTCCTCTGCAGGATTCAGTGATGTCACGGATGTATAGTCCTTGGCTCGGAGCGGACATTTAATGACAGCACTTGGGTGTGTGGGTGGGTCGCCTGGCGCTTCGCCGCAGCACCGCTTAGAGACTGTCCATGTCATCATCGTAGTTCAGGCAAGACCGGCCATGGAAGACCCGGGAAAGGAAGGCAAACACCAGTGCCCTCCTGGGGGCTTTCCCCGTCCTCTGTCCTCCGTCCACACACCCGGCGGCCGAGGGGGGCGGGACATGCACGTGCTGGGCTGGGGAGAGCCATCGCGCCTGAACTCGGTCAACTCACAGCCCTTCCCATTTTGACCCAGCTCTGGCCTCGGCCCCATAACTCACTGATGACACTCGGTGGGTCAACACACATTAGCTGGCTGAGACGGGGAAGGACATGGTGGCTCCAGGGTTCCCATGAGGTCCAGGAGTGCAGAGGTGACTCGGTGGCCCTGGCAGGGAGGGGGGTGCACAACCCCCAAGGCCACCTGGCTGACCGCTGGGCCCCTCGAGGTCATACTAAGCAAGGATGCCCACTTGTCCTGTAAGTTCTCTGCCTTTTCAAGCCAGACAAGTGACCCATTCTGTGATGCACTTTCCTTTCCTGTAGCTCCCTGTCCCTCCCCCGCCTCCCACCAGCCCCTGCCAGTATCTGATGCTCAGGCCCTGGTGGTTGGCTCTCCTCGCCACCAATGCCCAGATCAGCCTGTCCAGGGGGCTTGGGACCTGTGGCATCCACCTTCTGGAAGGCAGACAGGTCGCCCCCCCCCACACACTCTGACTCTCAGGTCCTGATGAGCAAACAACAAAGGGGTCCTTTCTTTGCACCCAAGGCCAGAGCAACACAGCCAGGTGAGAACCGGCTGCACTCACCTTGACCTTCCCAGCATGGAGGAGCAGGCTCGGCAAAACAAACATTCAAAAGATCACACAGTTAAAATGCTTTCCAAACCAACGAGAGAGGCGGGCAGGCTGACAGCTGCTGCTCGGGGAGGGCACTCACCAGACTTCAACCTGAGCTCTCCCAGGCAGCCGTAGGCGTCGGTGAGCTTCCCGTACTGGCCTCTGATGACCTCCTTCTCCGCGGGCGCTGGGGGACAAGCACATGACAGACAACATCAGCGGGTCTCCCGCGGGAGTTCGCTCCCCACAGCCTTCCGCCGCTCCCACCCACTCGAAAAAGAAAACGCAGAGACAATAGCTCAGCCCCAGGAACTCTTGCTCTCTGCGGGCGCCCACAGCTTCCGGGGGGGGCGGGGGGGAGGGCTGGAGAGGATGAGGGGCATCCCCCGTGGGCTGGGGGTGCTGGGTTTGAGGGGGAGCCTGGGCCTGACCCTGTCACTGCACCGGGGCCCACGTGCTCAGACACAGAGCGAGTTATCGTCACCTGCCAGAGGACCTGCCTTCCTAAGTGTGTCTCCTGGGGGCTTCGTTCTGCAGTGTCCACTTCCCACCCCCAGGAAGTGTTAACCCACAGGGGGGCTGCACAGAAAGCTGGGTACCCAGACACCCCAGGCCCAGTAGCATGAACCCCAAGGTGAGCTGCATGAGCAGGACCCCCCATTCGGCAGTTGTGCCCAGAGCAGGTGGAGAGCAAAGCTGGCAGAAGGAGGGACCTCGGGGCAGTAGCCCCACCCTTTCCAATGACACCACAGCCACCGCCGGTCAGTAGGCAAGTGGACAAATGCCAGAGAATAACCCTGATGCAATAATCTGTTCCAGCTCCGGGAGCATTACCAACGCTCCCGCCGGACCCCAAGCCTTCGCAGGCCCGGTCCTCAGCTTATTAAACCATAGACAAGGGGCTCTTCGGGCATCAGACAGACAGGAGGAAACCGCTGGGCAAAGCAAGTGTCAAATCCAACTTTGGACGCGGCACAGACCACGGGAAAGGCTGTGGGACACGGGGAGGGGTACACTGTTGGGCCCACTGGTCACACACCACAGAGCACACATCACATCGCCCGGCCATGGGCAAAGGAACACGAATAAAAAGAGCTCTCGTCGTCTTCGAGCCCTGCCATCTGGCGCCATCGAGTCCCGTAAGCGACGGACTCCCTGACATGAGCGCCCTCCTGTCGGCCTTGCCCCGAGACCACTCTCAGCACGTGTGCCCGGCGGCCGCGGTCATCTTGTGAGAAGATGCGTTTTTCTGCCGCAATCAGACTGGCTGGAAACACACCCCGGCTCACGACAGACCAGCGGGGCACAGTTCCGGGGGGCATGGCTGACAGTGAGGGTGGCAGGGCCAGCCCCCTCTGTGGGCTCCAGGAGGACCCCTCCCTGCCGCCTCCCAGCTCGGGGTGGCCGTCACCCCTGCTTGAGCTGCATCACCCCCTCCATCGTCACATGGCCACCTGCTGTCCGTGGGTCTCTATGTCTCTCCTCTTCTTCTAAGGACACCGGTCTTATTGGGCTTGGGGCTCACCCGCCCCCAGCACGACCTCATCTCAACTAAGGACATCCCTGCTGACCCACATTCTGGGTGTGAGAGCCAGGCTTCAACACATGATGCTGGGGACACGCCTGAAGCCATGACACTCGGCGGTCTCTGCACTCGGTGAGCCAGCCCGTTTACGGCCCAGACCCCCTGCAAACAGTCTCCCCGATGAGCTCTCCTTTCCTCTCCACAGCTCCTCTGACCCACCGTGACAGCCCCACACTGCCCAGGCCTGGCCGCCCAGGCAGCCTGCTCCGAAATCACCACCCGCCCGCCTGCCCCAAACGGCTACACGTCTTCACGAGGCTTGGAGAAAGGAGGAATCCATTCTGCTCCTCAAAAGAGAGCTCCGGACCCAACGCCTGCAAGCAGCGGGCAGGTCCCAGGTGGACGAAGCTGCTGGAAGGGGCCCTGGGGACCAGCGGACACGCCCGCCTGCTCTGGGGGGCAGCGGTCAGTGCTGCCAGTGGTCCCCCAGCAGCCATGCCAGCCCAGCAAGTCTGGGGTTTTTCCAGAGAAGTAGGACAGGGCTGATTTTTTGCTGCTGACAACCAACCCCATTTATTTTAAGCACCGTGTGGGCAGAACACACACCTCTGTAGGCGGTACTTGCCTGCCCGTTTGCAACTTCTGTCCTGCTAATGCCTCCAAAACAGAGCGTCCCCGCCGTCCACGCTTTCCTGCATTTCCTGCGGGTTTTTCCCTCCCCTGCCATTGGCCACGAACATCCAGCCTGCTGAGGGAAGTCCTCTCGTCTACTCTCCCATCCTCTTCCTCACCCATCTCGTGCTCCTGGGATGCTGCCATCCATCCTCTACTGGGGCTGGCACTGCCCTGGCACAGGGATCTGGCAGTAGGCATGACAGGCCACCGTCCCTGGACATCAGAGTCAGCCCAGGCAGGCACTGGGCGCGGGCAAAGGAGGGATGCGTGTCATGGATGATGAGTGACAGTGGAGGCCAAGCCGTGGGTGGGACCCTAGAGCAGGGGCACTGCCGAGGCACATCCACGAAGGCCTCGTCGGTGCCAGGCACCCTGCAAGCTTCCTGCCAGGCGGACAGCCATGGTCAGTAAGCACAGTATAGATGGTGGCATGAGCTAAGGAGTACCAGTGAGCAAGGAATGGGGGTATGAAGTGGTGTGTGTGTGTGTGTGTGTGTGTGTGTGTGAGAGAGAGAGAGAGAGAGAGAGAGAGAGAGAGGTGTTTTACATCGCATGGTTTGAGAAGACCTCGCTGCAATGGCGACTTTTGAATGCAGCCCTGAAGGAAACGAGAGAGAAGGCTGAGCAAGGAGCAGGGAGCACTATAGGCCCAGAGGAGCATGTGCAAAGGTCCTGAGGCAGGGGAGTTCCTGGCAATGGGGGCATTCCTGGCAATTCAGGGACCAGAAAGGTCAGTGTGTCTTCTGGAAATCGGAGTGGGGGACACATTATAAAGAGCCTCTGGGTCATAAAAAGGCTTGGGTTTCAGGCTGAGAGGGAGCCGTTGTGGGCTGCTGTGTTGGGAACAGAACACAGAGGGGTACGGGGAGAAGCAAGACCAGTTGGGAGGCCTGGCAATGGCTCAGGCAAGAGATGCTAGTGGGACCACGGTGATAGCAGCGGTGGTGCTGAGAAATGGTCAACTTCTGGAAACACACGCACACACTTTTATGGAAATTTCCTAAGAAAAGCAGAGTAAGTGTAATAAACCCTGTGCGCCCACATACCATGGACCCACCAGCTCCAACACCAGCTAGTTTCATTCATTCATTGCTCCTCCACCCCAGTCTCACCCTGAGATCAGGGCCTCACATGTGGCTCTCAGACAGGCAGCATCACCAGCATTAGAAATACCAGTTACCAGATGCCTCCCCCTACCCCCACCCCGCCAGCTTGGCTGAATCAGAACTCTGGGCTGGAGACTCAGAGCCTGTGTTTGAATGAGTCCTCTTAGTAAGAATCCCCATCTCAGGTGATTCTGAGTAAACCCCAGACTCCTTATCATTTCATCTCTATTTCAGTAAGAATCTCCAAAAGATAAGGTTTTTTTAAAAAAACATAACCACAATAGCATTATCACATCTAAAGGGACTTCAGCACATTCCTTAACATCATTAACTATCTCCACATTTTGAAAAGCGAGGACAAGATCTGAGAACAGATTGGATGCGGGAGGCGAGAGAAGACAGTGCAAAGACGCCTCCGATGTCTCTTGACTACAGACAGGGGAGTGGCTGCCACCTGTGCGGGAAGCTGGTGGGACAGGCGAGTGGCTGCCACCTGTGCGGGAGGCTGGTGGGACAGGCGAGTGGCTGCCACCTGTGCGGGAGGCTGGTGGGACAGGTCTGTGGAGCAGCAGGAGCTCAGGCTGGAGAGAAGGCGAGGCCAGAGCCCATCAAGCCCAGCAGGGAAGTCCGGCTGACCCCACAGCCGGGGTCCCCAGCAAACAGAAGATATTTAACGTGGTGAGGCTGGGAGGTCACCTGGGGGTGAGGCTGGGAGGTCACCTGGGGGTGAGGCTGCAGACGGTGTGTTTAAAGGCCAGGGAGACGGAAGAGACACGGCCAGAAAGATGCAAGGAGCACCGGGCACCAGGAGTGTGCGAGGGGGGGGGGGGGCGGGCGCGGG